TTTAATCGAAATTATGTTCATTACGATATGTTGTGTTTTTATAACTCATCTTGTATTGATATCTTTTTTCTTTAATTATTAAAATACGTACCTAATTCACATGTTCAAATGGAAGTACATGCACTACGCCCATTTTCATATTGTCATATTACCGACTTTTATGAATCATGAACCATTGTGTTCATGTTACTTCTATTATATGAACACAAATGTTATTTTTTAAGCTTGATACCAAATTTTTATATTTGTGTAAGTGTTTGCACCCGATGTTCATAGCGTTGGGGTTATGTGTTCATATATTTTATACGATATGAACAAGAGGTGAACACGATATGAACAAGGGGTGAACAACCATATAAGATCAAAAACATATATGAACAAGGAGTGAACCTTAAACAGTGTGGATGCAATGCATGTATAAAACTCCAATTGACAAAGGATCGCTCCTGAATATGTTTATAATGAAGGAACTATTGTTCACAAGCTGTTCATATCGTGTTCATACATTTTTTTTATTTATTTTCTTTCGTATAACAGTTATTCTTATTATGTTCATATTGTGTTTATAAATGCTATGCAGTCCAAGTTCATATATATGTCAAATTTTTGTTCGTATTTGACACAATGGTTCATATATATAGTTGTGTTCATATGGTTCTTATATTAACAAAACTAAATTAACAAAAAAATCATAGCATTTTGATTTTGTAACTCCCAATTAATTAATGATATGGGAGTTACATAATTTTTTTTTACCTAAATACCCTTTTCAACATTGTTCACTTATCTTTATGCAATTTTAAATTTAAAAAAATAAATTTTTATCATGATTAATCATAACCGTTTATTGAAAGATTGAATGACCAAGATCGGTTAACAAAGTTAACACAAAGACTTTGATTAACATTTGATCTTACCCCTATATATATATATACACATACACTACTCATAAGATGTGCATCTTTCATTCATCAACTTCTACTTTACCACATTGCAATTCTTATTGAAAAATCTTTAAAACAAAAATGATTTTGTACTATTGTTTATTTAATCGTCATATATTAAGGTATTGTTATTATTTATCCATTCAAATCCGTTGTTAGCGATAGCTTTTTATTTTGAAAGAACAACTTTAAGATAGTATTTGGTTTACTATAATGGACTAATATTAGAATAGCTAAATTAAGAGAATTTTACGAACTTTCAACATGCAACAAATTCTCCAAAAATGAGAAAATGGAAAATTATGGGGGTTTTTAGCTATTATTTTTGCTCCATTTGATTTTCCAAAACTTTATCTAAAATACCATTTTACCTCTCCACCACCACTACTCATTATGGAACATCACCACCACCACGATAGTCGTCTACCTCCACCAGCTATGAACTACCATCAACAACCATCGCCATTGTCGACGACTACCACTACCATACATCGCAACCCACCATGCACCACTCACTGCCCAACACCACACCTACCACTCTCGCCCACCACCATCACACATTACCCATCATCAACCACCGCCGTTATGCCATAAATGGCCATTTTGATCTATTATTATTTTTCTCATTCCAATTTCGGAATACATTCTAAGAACCGAGTAGACAAATTTCAATTCATCTGACAAATTAATGTCTGGTCAAATTTCTTTAGATTTGATTCCAACTCCATCCTATTTCAATTTTCTTATTAACACGTTCAAAAACGTCTTATAACTTATTACAACATTTTTACATAGTATGCACAATTGATTCTACAAAACTTAAGTCTTATAAAACAAACTATATTTTCAACGTCTTGTAAAGTCAATTTTGTTGTAATATATGACGATTGATTGACGTAACATGACTTGGTAAACACTTACCTAGATAAACGTTTGGTAAATGGATCGTACGTAACAAAAGATTTATACACATATATCTTCATAAGTATCTCCATGCTGAGACATCAGCTCGACGTCATTTATTTGTTTCTATACTTCCAACTTGCTCTTCATCTACAAATTAAAAAAAAAAAACTAAATTAAATAAGAAAAAAAAATTGAAAAAAAAAGGAACCTCTCTCCTCCCATGTCTTTATATCTCTTTGGATATTCTCTTTCGGTGAGGCTTTCTCTTCTGCTCTCCCTTTATCTTCAACTTCAACACCACCGTTATCCGTCGTACCATGCGAGGAGAAGTGAGTCTCTCTCTCTCTCTCTCTCTCTCTCACACACACATGCACACTCCCATTCTCTTTCTCTCTCTATATATATATATATTTCACATACATACAATACACAACATGCAAATGCATATATATTCATATCTAATCAGCAATTAAGCACATGTATGGAACCTCACATACATTCTTATATATGTTGTGTTTATCATTAAGGTTATGTGGCCAAGATTGGTAGCGAGTAAGCTACTAAGGAAGACACTGGGATCCAACAACTTCGTCACCGATTTCCCAGAAAACACGATTTCTTTTCTTGATCTTCCATCGACGTTGGATCTCGAACCTCTCCCCAGTCCTAAGATCATCTTCACAGATCATCATGATACACAAAAGTTCAAGTAAGATATATATATATATGCATATATATATATATATATATATATATACACACACACATCAATTAAGCCTTTCTTTCTTTGTCTTTTCTCTCTGAGACTTTCCCAGAATATTATCCTACAGGGCTTGAGTTTTGTCCCACCATTTAATTATGCCAAGTGCATTGTCTAATATCGACAGTTTGATAATTTCCGTTAAGAAAACTAAGACGAGATTCAAACTCATGACCTCTAAGTTATTTACGATGAAATTTTAAAATTCATCTATTGTTATTTTAATTGAGGATTGGTTAAATATATGTAATATATATACATATAAATTTGTGTTTTTTAATTTGAAGGGTCTTCGTAAGTACATGGAACGTTGGTGGTGTTACACCTACCGAGGATTTGAATATTGATGATTTGTTGGATACATGCAACAATTCGTGCGATATTTATGTACTCGGGTAATCTTTCTTGACAAAAAAACAAGTATTTTGATTAAATTATTATGCTTTCCTACTAATTCTAAATTAGTTTTGTTTTTAAGGTTTCAAGAAGTGGTTCCTCTAAGAGCATCAAATGTTCTTGGATCCGAAAAGAAGAAAATATCGATGAAATGGAATTCGTTGATCAGGAAAACCCTAAACAAGAAATCACACAACGAATACTACAACAACGGTAACTTGAGAGAGAAGCAACGAAATTCCTTTCATGCAACAAAAGGCAACAGATCAAATATTGAGAGTAGCATGATCCAACACGAGTTTCGGTGTCTCATCAGCAAACAAATGGTTGGGATACTGATATCGGTTTGGGTTCGCAGTGATCTTCATCCGTTTTTTCGAAACCCTAATGTGTCTTGCGTAGGTTGTGGCATCATCGGGTGCCTAGGAAACAAGGTATTATTTATTTGTTAAGTTTTTTACAAATGCATGCATGGGATTTAACCCATATATACCATTCAACCTAAATTACGCTTTATTATCTTGTATTAATTAATCTCGTGTGGTGATTATATGATTGATCAATCTACAGGGCTCGGTTTCAGTTCGGTTTCATTTCCACGAGACAAGCTTTTGCTTTATATGTGGTCATCTCGCATCGGGAGGGAGAGAAGGAGACGAGAGAAACCGAAACTCGAATGCCTCAGAGATATTGTCGCGGACAACGTTTCCCACAACCATGGGACCTTCACTTGATCTCCCCAAAATGATTCTCGACCATGAGTACGTTTTCGATACACTAGTAAACGTCTAGAACCATTCCTAATTCTATTTTTAACACGAACAAACTTAACAATCATCATTTACAAAATACACAAAGCTACATTTTCTCATGGATTTATAAATTTGTCAAAATTTTCTTACAAAATATATCGTTTCCTTTGCATTGAACGATGGTTTGTTTATAAATAAAAAACCAATATCACGTTTAGAAAAGTTAATAAGTTGCATTTAATTATAATACTAATTTGTGTTTATCAAACACAACGACACCTACCAATCAAATTCGCTTCAACTTGTCGGATTAATTACCCAATGATTTCCAATGATAAACAAAACATAACGAGTGTGACATAAAATATCAACTTGGTCCTGAATTTATTGAAGTTTGATGTGAATTTGTGTGTCGTCGTTATCGAATAGAGTCGGCAGATGATATAAAACAACCTTTATAACAACTAATTAATAGTGGTCCTTTTTTTTTTTATGATTATTCATAAAATATACTACAAAGGAAGAAACAAAAGTATCTTAGTCTAACGCTTATGCTAAAACACAATTAAGGGTTCTTTAGTTTGCATACATATGTATATGTTTACATTACATATTGGAAATTAAACATAGTGTTTACTAATTAAATGATTTGAATCATTAAAGTATCTTTTCATTATCTATACTATATTATAAAACATTTGACAAAAACTCTTAAAAACCATTTTTTATGCGTAAAATACTGTTCATTAATGCATATTACTTAAAACCCAAGATTGCAAGTAGATTGTGCGTAAGTACAACTTATTAAAGCTTCATATTTAAATTCGTGTAACTAACTAGAGATAAACATAATCAAATACATGATAAACATCTTATTTTAAATATAAAAAATCTAAAATATAATTAGGATAATCATTAAGTTCTAACATAATATTTAATTATTATCTTTATAAAATGTTATATTATTAAACCAAAAATAAATTATTTCGTTATTAAACTTAAATTAAATTATAATAAAAAAATAAGTTAAAGAAATTACATAAAAAATGAGAATTTTTAAATAGTTGATTTGATATTAACATTGATATATATATTTTTTTAAATTTTTATGGTATCTTCAAATTTATATTTTATTCAAAAATAAAATCATTATTGTTTTCTTTTTTTTTCTTTTTTTTGAAGTATATAATATTTATATACGGCAAATGCAACAAATAAACTCACACACCCTCCTCACCTATGGTGAGATTTGAACCCCTGACATTCTAGAAGGCCAAGGGCTATGATACCGCTAAGCCAAATGCCCTTTGGTTGCTTTCTTAAAAACACATAAAATCGTATTATAACATCAACAGAGACAAATAATAAAATAGAACATTAAAATCGAGATGTGTCTCGCTGCATTGCATGAGTATTTTTCTAATATATATATATATATACACACACAGAGTATATTATAAAACATTTTACAAAAAAACTTAAAAAAAAACCATTTTTTATACATGAAGTACTGTTTATTGATGCATGTTACTTAAAATTCAAGATTACAAGTAAATTTTACGTAAGTACAACTTATTAAAGTTTAATGTTTAAATTCATGTAACTAACTATGGATAAATATAATCAAATAGAGAATTAACATTTCATTTTAAATATAAAAAATCTAAAACATAATTAAGATAATCATTGAGTTCTAACAAAATACTTAATTATTATCTTTATGAAAAGTTATATTATTAAACCAAAAATAAAAAAAATGAATTAAAGAAGTATACAGAAAAAAAAGAAATTTTAAATAGTTAATTTGATACCAATATCAATATTTTTTTTCAATTTTTTATAATATAATCTTTATATTTATATTTTATCCAAAAATAGAACCATTATCGTTTTTTTCAAAACCGTATTATAACATCAACAAAAACAAAATAAAATAAAATAAAATATTAAAATTAAGATGTATCCCGTTGTATTGTACGGGTACGTACCCTTCTAGCATGATATTATGCATGAAATAATTATTAATTAATAGATATAGTTAAAGATGGAAAACTTCGAAAATATTATATTTTAGATAAAGTCTAAATAAAAAAATGATGAAAATTATATTATGTTTTGCTATTACGATAATAAGTAATTAAGTATAGCTTTACCAAAAACGATTGGGTTTCAGCCGTAGAGAATTCAATAAATGCCAAAAATATAAGTACGTTCACTTATTAAATTTTTTGGTTACTTTAATTTATATTAAAAATATTAACTTAATTTAAATGACCAATCATATTGATCGTTGTGTTTATATTTTTGTGTGTCTATTTAACTATAATAAATAAAGCAACAAAAAGTAAAGTTATAAGAACTAATCGATCATTGGTTAGTGTTGCACATATGCTCAAGTAAAGCTAATTAAATAATCACATGTGATTATTGTAACAAAAATAGTATGTTGAAACGTTTAGTTCGCATAAATGGAATTAATTTGGGATTTGGTATTTCAAATCCATTCTAATTTTATGTTTGGTTTGAAATTATAAGATCTAGTTGAAATCCTACAAACATAGAATTTTGAAATCCTTAAGAGTGATTGGAATTTCATGGGACTTCGTATAATTGTATGAAATACGGTTTTAGAAAATATTAGAAACATTTTATTTTGTGATAATCGATTAATAAAAATTTAATCTAATTATTTTTATAGTTATTTTTTATAACTAATGGATTTCTCATATATAAACACGAAAATGTCATAAAACCATTATACATCTTCCCCGCCTTTTATGATCATGAAATTAAAGATATAACTTGTGTGTATATATACACATACATGTAAATAGAGTCAAGTTTATACGATAAAAATAACCAAATAAGATAATATGATAACGGTCAAATCACATATGATTCACACGACTAGCTTTGACTGCAACTTAAGGTCATGGGGCCATGTCACCCACATACCCTTGTTTTGACCGTTTGTGTAAAATTACATGTGATTTTGCACGTAATTTGACTGTTTTTGTGTTCTTTTATTTAATAATTGTTCTTTTTAAACTTTTTACGATATTTATTTAAACCAACCATATATATATATACATATGTGTGTGTATTAATATTTAATTAAATATGGTCCCCAAATTAGTCGCAATACTTCCAAAATTATTTCGTTGGATTTGTTTGGACGGTTAATTTCAAAATTAATTCTTGAATATGGCTACTAATTAAATTATTAAAAGTAGCTTAATTGAGGTAGGATATCTTTCAATATTTCTAAAAGGAATAATACGTACAAAAATGTCTTGAAGCTTTACTTCCATAAATAATATAAAACTTTGTGCCTTGCGACACTACCAAACAGGACAACTTTTCCGACGGCCATATCCGTCGGAAATACATATTATCGGCGGGTACAGCCGCCGGAAAAGTTGGCGTTGGTGATTAACAGAAGTTGATTTTTTTATGTCCGTCGGCAATTTGGCGGAAATGGTCCGCCGAAAATACCCATTATTCTAGTAGTGTGAATTAGAAGGTTTTTCTTTTTTGAATGATGTAGTTGTTGAAAAAAAGTGGTCAATTATTAATTAAATTAATTAATCTTCAACCGCCCCAAAGAGATGATTTGCTTGATTTGCTTATTTTCGTTGCTATTATTAAATTTTATTAATCGTATTTAACTACTAATTATCGTTAATATTAGATAATTAATAAACAATTATTATTTAATTAATTAGTAGAAATCAGTGGGTCACTTGAAAGATTAGCCGGTGCAAGCTGGCCCAAAAACCGACGGTTACCCAAATATGTAATAATTTGTTGATTTTATTGTTACGACAGTCGGGTTGTTTTCCTCGGAGACCTAAATTACCGGATTTCCTTGCCGGAAAGGGAGACACGGTTACTAGTAAATAGGAAGGATTGGAATACGCTCCTCGAAAACGATCAGCTTCGAATGGAACTGATGGATGGTCAAGCATTTGAATCTTGGCATGAAGGAACCATCAATTTCGCTCCTACCTACAAATACCATCCCAATTGTGATGAATATTATGGTTGTGGTCATCTTGCTACCAGAGCCAAAAAGAAACGTGCTCCTGCATGGTAATTATTCATCTTAATTTCTTTGATTATTACATCAACTGTTTTCAATTCGTTAATTCGTAGTACGAATATAAACGGGTCTTAAAACGCATTTCTAAAATTATTTGAGGCAAGGGGATCGAATTAAAGCTTTCTGGTTATAAAACGTCCATGAAAATATGCGTTTTCAAGAAACTCTGTTGTTTTATACATACATAGGTGCGATAGGATAATTTGGACGGGCGAGGGATTAAAGCAACTTCTGTACACAAGAAGCGAAATCCGACTATCTGATCACAGACCGGTGAAGGCTATGTTTTGTACTGAAGTTAAAGTTTCACGGATGAGGTACCAAAGCTTTTGTTTATCAGAGAGGTTCGGATGTCCAACGAAAACTAGTAATTTAGAGTTCCATTCGGACGATGAATACTCAAGTAATTCCGGCCGCTTAAGCTTCCATAGTGTTAAAAACAAAATGACCACACCATGAGACTTGTTTGCTTTAACTATATATGCTAATTGTTGTTCATGTTTTTCAGCCAAAAAATGTCGACATCATCTCTGTTTCATTGGATATATATATATATATATATATATGTAAGTACAAACACAAGAGATTGTATAGTAGCACCTATTTTTGTACCATAAATATTTGAGATTTGTTGTTTCTGTCCACCGACGACTTCATTTGATTCCAAAATTATTGTAGTTGGTCTCGATCATATATGTTAGTGGGGAGTTCTTCAAACTGTAGTTACAATATATCTACAATGAATACTGTTTTGCAATATTATCGTAATGGTCTAAATAACTTGTTATGGTCTCGTTATGACGTTGAGACTTTGTTGGGCTTCGTCGCGATGTTAACTCATATGGGTTCATTCTAAGGTTTGACTTTCGTTGTAACGCGTTAGGGCGTGTCATGGCAAGTTATGACACGTTACGGTGCATTATTTTGTAAGAGTTTCTTTTAGAACTTTTTTAAACATATAATGTGAGAGATGGATGATTATTATGTAGGACACCCTAAGACCTGAATAAACATAAAAAGGAAAAATAAAAACTAAAATCCTAAACGGGTAAATCGTTACTCTCATTCTCGTACAGAAGAGTCGAACACGAATTCATGTAGATTGTTGTAAGTAGAAGTAGTGAGTAGAGACTTAAGAAAATTAATACTCATTTTGCAGTTTTGATATCATAATCTTACAAGCTCGATATATATATATATATATATATATATATATATATATATATATATATATATATATATATATATATATATATATATATATATATATATATATATATATATATATATATATATATATAATAATAATTTTAGCCATTGATCAAGAAAATGAATGGATGAGATTGGTTTACACGGTTTACACAAATGGATCAAGTTTTTATTTGAACGTTTTTCTCTCTCTCTCTCTCTCTCTCTATATATATATATATATACTTGATATAAATAGTTCTTCTTTTATATTTAGATTTATAACTTTATATTAATTTACTAACATACACAAGCAGACTTGGGATCACGTGAGACCAGCCTGTTTTCGTGAGACCCATAAGACCACCTTTTTACACTTGAAACTTCACAGCAAAATGCTGTGAAGGTAACCTTCACAGTGTTTTTGCTGTGAAGGTTCGACTTTTTTAAACCTTCACAGTGTTTTTGCTGTGAAGTTTCAAGTGTAAAAATGTGGTCTCACGGGTCTCACGAAAACAGGCTGGTCTCACGTGAACCCAACCCTACACAAGCATATATAAATAAATATATATATATATATATACACACACACACACACATACACATACATAGCGTCAAGTTAGAACAATAATTAAATAAGATAATAATAAAAAACGGTGGAATCACATGTAATTTTATACTAAAATCACATGCATGTGATTCACACGACTTTGACCACGACTTGAGGTCGCGAGCCATTTCCCCCGCTCACCCTTACGTCGCTTGTTGTTGTAAAATCGCATGTGATTTTGCACTTGATTTGACTGTTTTGGTATTCTCTTATTTTGTTATCATTCTCGTTTGAATCTTCTTATACATACATACATATATGTATACATATGTCGTCATAGGACATGTCTTAAAAAATGTCGTAGTCTCGCCGTAATTTATAAAGCTTAAAACTTGATTAGAACCTTGCTTATAAAAACCTATTTTATATATCCTATGTAACATCAATAATTATTTTCTGAAAATATATAAAACTAATAAAATATTATTCCATATAATTTTTTTTACGATAACTCAAAAGAAATAGATGGGTCGAGCTATTCACACGTATGACAGGGGGAAAGAGCTTCGAAATTGCATTACGTTAACAATTTTTTATTTAAAATCTATTTCATTTTTATTAAAAAAATCCAAACAATAATAAAATATATTATAGCCATTAATTTTAAATACACATATAACTTTATTTTCGGTTATTTATAAGGCGTGGAAATTGAAAATGAGAATGACACATCAAGTTTTTCCACCGACAAAGGATAATATTTAAATATAGCCGGAATAAATATTATCTTGTTAAATCATTCAGTAAAGTTATTTATTTAAACAAATCTAAATTTCAGGTTTTCATGTCTCTTAAAAATTTAATTGATTGGGTGCACAATGTAAGACGTTCTCTTTGTTACGTAATTGTTATTAAAAGATCCAAGAGTAGCTCAAATAGGCTCATGTCGAAAGTTATTTTCGCATGTGATCGTAGTGGTAGAAATACTGGCAAAAAAAATCAATTGACCATTCGAACTGGTAGGAAACCATTTAGAAGGGTACGAATGTTTAACGTCCAATTTATAGATGTGTCATCTATAGAGCAAATGTTTAACCTCCAACATTCGTACCCCTCTAAATAATTTCCTAAGCAATTGTTTAACGTCCAACATTCGGATCCTTTTAAATAGTTTCCTACCAATCCAAATAAACAATTGATTTTTTTGGTGCCAATATTTCTACTTGAGATTTTATTACATCTACATGTACCACAATCATTACATGCAAATATAACTTTAGACATGAGCCCATTTGGGTAGGGATGGCAACGGGGAGGGGATGGGCCGGGGTTTGCAATCCCCGGCCCGGCCCTGGTTTATACACACAGTCCCCGGCCCCGGCCCCGGCCTCGGTCAACTTTCGGTCAACCCCGGTCAACACCCGGTCAAATAAAAATTAATAAGTTTTTTCTAAGCATGATCAACATAACAACATAATTACATCATATCTAGTCTTGCCTAATAAAAATAATAAAATTGTAAAATTAACAATAATCCAAAGAAATGTAAAATTTAAAACAAGTGTTAATATAATTACATCATATCTAGTCAAGAAGAGTAGAAGATGATTGAAATTTGGACATATCAATTATAAAGCCCAAGTCCATAAGTCCAACAGGCCGCACATATCAATTATAAGCCCAAATAATCAAAATGTTAATATTTATATATATACCGGGTGCGGGGCGGGTCGGGGGATACAATACCCGGCCCCGGTTTGCCTCTACCGGGGATCCCCGGCCCCGGCCCCGGCCCCGATACCCGTTTTAGCGGGGAATCCCCGTCCCCGTCCGGGTCGGGTGAACCGGGTTCCCCACCGGGTCGGGCCAAATCACCATCCCTACATTTGGGCTACTGTAATAAAGAGAACGCCCTATATGGTGGAGTGTGCACACAATCAATTTAATCTGCATGAGACATGAAAAAACTAAGATTTAGATTTGTTTAAGTGAATAACTTTACTGAATGATTTTGCAAGATAATATGTATAGTAGCTATATTTAAAAATTATACCTTGTCGATGGAAAAACTCGATGTGTCATTCTCATTTTCAATTTCCACGCCTTCAGTTCGTTTATTTGTGTCAACATCCTCCTCCTAAATAAACATATATACAAGATTAATTCATAACAAACTACTTAAAATAGTAACAAGTGAAGGTACGTTTCTCACTTGAATTGCATTAATATTGCAAATCTTCCCTCCAACTCCCCATTTTCTCAAAATTTTCTTCTTTTATATGTATGATAAAACTAGAGAACGTATAGATTCAAGTATGAGAACTTCATTTGATCGCAACATATCGTATTTATACTGAAAAAACAGTCTTGGCATGTAGAATTTTTTTTTATAGAACATGGGACGGTTTGCAAGTTCTAAAAATAATTGAAGATTTAGTGATTTAGTTCAACGAAAATCATTCCTGTATGATTATACAATACACTTTAAACCCTTATATTATACCTTTAAACCTAATTTAATATATATATATATATATATATATATATGTATATATTAATGATATTCAATATTGATATAAATTTGATCTATTGACAAACACTTTTGTATGTGTAAAGTTCAATTGTCCGTGCATAAATATTACTCCATTCATTTCAAAATAGAAGTCTACATTTCTATTTATATTTATTTCAAAATAAGTATTTATTTTTAAAATATATATAACTAAATTCTCAAATCTACCATTAAATAAAAATAAAATTGATGCGACTTTATGTTATTCGGGAGAGATTTTTATACCAGGTGTAAAGAGATTATCCCAAAAATAAAACGAAACCCTCGATCAAGCACTTCAAATTTATCCCTTTCTCTCTCCCACACTCTCGCATATAAAAAGACCAAGTTTAAAGTTTTGTCCAAATCGGCTCGAAAAAAACTCAGGTTTAGACTAAGCCTTAAAAGACCGATTAAGTCCAACTTTTTTGAAAAAAACACGGCGTGAAAAACTTCGATCAAACCTATTTTTACACCCAAGGTCTCCCCCTCTTTTTGCTTACTGAAAAGAGACCTTGAAGGCTCTTCAAAATTTCTTTAAAATACAAAATCAAAAAACTAAATCCCTAAAAAATCACATTCAATTCCAATAGCTTCTCCGTTATAAAGATAATGATATTAATTATATTATTAAAATACTAGAAGCGTACTCGCACAATGCAGCGAGATACATCGTGATTTTAATATTTCATTTTATTCTTTATCTCAGCTATGTGATTTTGAGAAAGCGATGATGTTTTTATTTTTGAATAAAATATATGTTTGAAAATATTATAAAAATTTGATAAAAATATATCGATATTAGTATCAAATTAACTATTTGAAATTCCTCATTTTTTTGTGTAATTTTTTAATTCAATTTT